TTTCTGTGATGGAGTGAACTAGGCCCCAAAGTCCCCTGCTGGAGGCTTGTGACCTTCCCAAACCTCACTCTTGGAAAAGAGCAGCAGAGAAGTCCTCCAAGCCCCCTGGAGCAGAAGTGTGTGAGGCAACTAGTCAGGTCCCAGCAAGCCAGTATACAGAAAGATGCTAGGCCATAGTCAGGCAGTTTCTCTTAGGGTCTGTCTACACATCAAAGTTATTTCAAATAACTTTCCTAGTGTCTACACAAGCCAACCGCTATTTCAAAATTAAATCGAAATAGCAGAGGGCTTATTTTGAAATCGGTAAACCTCATTCCATGAGGAATAAAACCAATTTCGAAGCTGCTATTTCAAAATAAGTGCTGTGTAGACACTTATTTTGAAATAGGGGGCCTCCAGCCCTTCCCAAGGTGCCCTAGTGGCCACTCTGGCCTCAACTAAGAACACTCCTCTCCCTCCCCCTCTCCCCGGAGCCCTTAAAGGGGTAGACTCTGGCCACAGTGCCTGTGTCAGCTCCAAGCCTGCCAGCCTAGAGCCAGCAGTCACTGCTCCCAAAACATGAGCCAGCAAGCCACTGGCAGCCAGCCCTCCACCACTCCCCAGGAGCAGTCTGCCAGCTCCCAGGAGCCTTCCAGGGGTCGGAGAAGGCGGGTGCCTTCCCGGTCCAAGGAGGAGATCATGGAACCCAGAAGCAGGTTTGCATGACCGGGGCTCGGCAAATAATACAATCTACTCGCCTATGGTGAGTAGATTGCAACCCGGAAGAGCCGGGTTTGGGAAATCTGCACAGACGCAGAATGATCTGCGCCTGCGCAGATCACCAAACATCACGGCTGGTGAGCAGGGCTCGCCGCGGTTTGGTGAGCCCTGTGCATGACAATCAAGTTGGTCCAGCAAGACCCCCAACTCTGAGCCCTGAGCTTCCCCCCGGCCTTCTTCCCCTTGCTCCACCCTTCCAGCTCCCTCCTTCCCGGTTTCCCCCTCCCCTCTCCCACCCTCTCTTCTCCCCTCTCCTGCCACCTTACCCCAGTCTCACCAGAGTTTCATTCCCCCCCCCCCCAGTTTTGTTAAATAAAGAGAGTTTGTGTTCATGAAAATACGTGTATTTTATTTTACACCAGGAAAGGGGATTGGGGGATGGTAAGTGGAAGGACATGAGGGAGGAATGAGGCACAAGCCCCCAGTGGGACAGACCAGGGAGGCTCTTAGTGCTCTTTAGGGTGGAAGCTCCCGTGCAGGGTCTCCTGGATACTGACAGCCCCCGATGGACCTCCTGGATGGCAGCCTGCAGAAAGTGCAGCCAGGCTCACAGCAGCGCATCCACGAGAAGCACCAGAGTGCCCAGGGGCAGCTCTGGCTCCATGTTGCAGAGTGCTGTGGTGCCCTGAGTGAGGGCAACCAGAGCATACAGAGACAAAATGCTTTGCTGTCCCTCATCAAGGTAAGCAAGCAAGCAAGCAAGGAAAGCTGAGAACCAGCTGTTCAGGAGGGGGTCACTTTAAGCACAGGCCTCAGATAGCCTGAGGCAGCAGCCACACAAAGTAACTCTGGACCTGATTCCGGCCGGCCTTAAATGTGATTCAGCATCCACTCAGTGTGGATGGGCTATTTCGAAATGCATTTTGTGTGTAGCTGTGATATTTCGAAATAAGATATTTTGAAATAACGCTCTAGTGTAGACATACCTTTTGGAGCTTGAGGAGTGAAAAGTGGGTGACTGGCTGGCCGAGAGAACAGGAGTACCATGGACAGCTCACTGTGGAGAATTTATTTCAGACTGCACTGAGGCCCAGGGTCTGCTGTGGAAGACTGGCTGGTGGAATTAGTTGCAGAACCCTGGATAGTGCGTCTAGACTACATGGCTCCGTTGACGGAGCCATGTAAAGTAGTTTACTAGGCATAATCAAAGAAACAGGGATTTAAATAATCCCCGCTTCATTAAAATAAACATGGCCGCCGCGCTGTGCCGACAATCAGCTGATCCCACACAGTGCGGCAGTCTAGACGCAGCGCGGTCGACAAGGGAAGCCGTTGTCAACCCCTCTTGACCACTCTCTGCCCCCTCCTGCATCCATGTCCCATGTAACCCAAACTTTTTGCACCCCTATTTCAGCCCCCCTATATCTTCCCAGACACTGCACCCCGTCCTACACCCTTCCTCAGGTCACAATCTCCTCCCAGACCTTGAACCCCCATCCGCTATTTCTGATCACAGTCCAAATCCCTGCACCCACTCCTGCCCCAGGTTACAACCCCCTTCCAAACCTTGTACTCCAGGGTGGGCAAGACAGCCTCTGTGGGCTGGATGCAGCCTGCCAAGCCCTTTGATCCAGCCCACAGCCACTCTGCCGCTCTCCTGCCCCCAGGCCAATCAAGACCTGGGAACAGGGGAGCACACAAAGTCTCCTCCCCCTGCCAGAGGCATGCAGCACCAGAGAGAACTGCCAGCTGTTCAAAACTTACAAGCCAGAGTCTGCGGGTGGGGGAGCACTCAATCTCTTCTGGCCCTTCTCCTACCACATGAGGCCACATCACTTCCAGGGCAGCCCACGGCCACTTCTGAAATTTGTGAACCGGACCCCCTTTCAAAAATTATTGCCCACCCCTGCACAAGAACTTTGAGACAAAGTCCTGAAGTAAAGGCCAGGATCGTGTGGGGGTATGGGGAAGTGGTCCTGGGAGTGAGACTAGCAATAGAACTTTAATGAGTTCTACTGCTATGGATAGGATCCCTGGAGTAGGGTCCAGAATAGTGGTTAAGCCTGGGTTCCCTCAGACCTCCAATAGCTACTAGGGTGGGAGAAAGAAGCCTGGTCCTAAGGATACCTGGATTCTGTCATGTTAGTTTTCTCAGTTATTTTTGTCTGCAGTCATTTATTTCAGCAAATGATGTCATTTATAACTAAATACTTGACTTATGGTTGAATCAGTTGTGCAATTTCACCTGCAAATTACTGCAGGTGTAGTATTAAAGTCTATTGCACACAGATAGTCAAATTTTGCTGTCATTTTCATCTGCGTAAATCTGAAGTCATTCCATTGGCTAATGGTAGGTATTTTCTTTGTTGGAGAGCAGATTTCTGTGTGAATAATGAAAGTGAAAGAGAGAGAAATTATTAAATTTAAAGTCAGGAAAAGTAAGATTTTTTAAAAGATGATGATGATGTCATCAAATGTATTGTTTCATGATTCCATGTATTGTTCTTGTGATTTTGGAGTTTACTGTTATGTTTTTCCTCACATTCTGAGTTTTTCTTCAGAACCCTTTGATGGAGGGATGCATGGATTTTTGAATTTTATTTTTTTGCCTGGGGGCACAAGGGGCATATTGTTAATAATATTAATATACTATTATGTGTACTATTTTGGTGATCCTGCTCTAGAATTTTTGGGTTCGTCTAGATTACATGCCTCTGCCAACAGAGGCATGTAAAATAGGCTACCTGACATAGTCAATGAAGCAGGGATTTAAATATCCCTGGCTTCATTAAAATAAAAATGGCCGCCACGCTGTGCCGGCTCAGCTGATTGTCGGCACAGCGCACGAGTCAAGACACGATTGGTCGACAAGGGAAGCCTTTGTCAACCAATCACTTATGCCTCGTGAAACGATGTTTACAGGAGCTGGGGATACTGGCTCTCTTCCTGCCTTCCTGCTGTGGACCATTATTCCCTTGTGCCAGCCAGATGAGCAGAGCCACAAGAATGGATCTGGTTCAGTGTCTTCTGTTATGTGACTTGGAACTTGCTGCTCCATTTGCTGGATTTAATGTGCTTCCCCTGGGTTGGCAGGATTCCATTTTCAAATGTTGGTCACTTTGGGAATATGTAATTAAGATGGCAAGGATGAATTTGCATCTGTTGGTATTATTGTTTCAGATTTACTTCAGCCAACAAGATAGCAGTACATTGATTTACAGCATATAAATTATTTACTTATTGGAAGGGACAGAAATGTCATAATCTTTAAGATAAAGACTTAGATTCTGTAGAATGTTCTTTACCCATTGAGTTCTGTCATTCCCCTAGGTAAGAAGATATTTTTCTTATATCTACTGTGAACCACTTTTCACCTCCTGGCCATTCAGTTCTTTACAAGCATCTCTATTCTTGCAGCAGAATAACCCAATAAATATATCAGATGGGCAGCAGCTGCATAATTACTAAATATGGAGAAAGTGTATTAGCTTATTAATTTTGTGTTGATACTGTAAATCATAATTAACTTTCTCCAGAGTTAGATACAGTAAATGCAAATCAAGTGGCTTTCAGAAATTGATGCATTTTCAAAATTATAAATGTGTTGTAGAAATGCTACTATTTTAATTTCAGGTATTTAAATCTGGGCAATATATTATTTAATTCTGTTTTTTATTTTAAGTGCCTGGTATTGTTGTTCTTCAAAACATAGCATTGTGCAGCTGCTAACTCAATGCAATGTAACAGATCTAGATGGTCTCCTTTGTCTTTTGCCATTCTGAGTTTCCATTAACGTTTTTCCAAAGGTGCAGACAATCTGGAATACGAGTGTATATACAACTCTTTATTCCATACCAGTTTTTATACTGACATTTTTAAAAGCAAAGAAAATTCTAACGTGTATGTTTAAAATATCAGCAGGCCAGTGTATTTCTAAACATTAGATATAAAACTCATATTCTTTTTCTGGCAATAGTTGTGTGTTGGATTTTGTGCCCAAGAAAAGCAGTAGTAGTTTGTGTAACATCAGTGGAGTGTGGAAAATGAAACATTTAAAAAACATATTTTTAGTCCTCCAGTATATCTCTGAATAATTTGCTCTTTTTGTTTTTATTGTATGTGTGTGTTTTAGGATAAGAGAAAGGGTGGCATACTGAGCGAATTGTACACAACTAATTAAGATGATATAAAAGAGATAACAAATGACAGCGTTTATTACCAAATCTGCTAAAAATATTTGCAATCCTGTCATCTGTATCACCAAGATAAGAAGTGACGTTCTGCTGTGTGTCTTTTCCCAGGATCTGTTGTTCAGTGTGTGCGCTCTCAATATCATCTCCACAATAGTCTGTGCGTTGGCAACTGCAATGTGCTGCATGCAGATGGTTTCTTCTGATGTTCTGCAAATGGTGAGTACGTTTCATGCTGCAGTTATATTCTCTGTCAATAAGTCTGTATGTTCCATACAGATATATTTACATGTGTGGATTTATGCATGGAGCATGTAAAATGGCTGATGTGGGATAAAAGTTTTGTTGGGAAGAGAGATTTTGGAACTGCTAAGACAGGACCTCTCACTTGACAAGTAACAAGGCACAGTTGGCAGCCATCACACTGTCTGTATACGTCAGTTCTAGCAAATATAGGCAGCTATCCACTAGTGTCTCAGCAATAGTAGAAGGCGTACACACAAAGCAGCAACAGCCGTGCAGTTTAGAACGCTGCATAGAGTTAGGAGAAAGAACTGGCCCACCTAATTATGCAATCATAATTTAAAAGTCTTTTTTAAGCTGGAAAAACATAACAATGAGCATGAACTGGTTACAGAACGACAACCATGTGCCAGTGTAGGGTGATGCACAGTATTGTTAGCTGCCATAGTTATTGCATGTTAACCAGGCCAGCTGATGGGAGGCAAAAGGGACAACTGCCCTGGGGTCTGGAAATTCAAGAGGGCCTGGGGCTTTCAGCCGCTGTTACCATGACAGCAGTGACAGCTGGGACCTTTAAATTGTTGCTGGAGAGCTGTGCCGCACGCTGTGGGCCACACTGAAGGCTGCCTGAGGAGGGATGGTGCTCTCCAGGCAGCACTGAGGGCTGCCTAGTCTCAGCCCCCGTCCCTTCTGCCCAAGGCACTGCACCTTTCAGGGGTACAGATCAGCCCTCCCCCCATCTTGCCAAGAGACCTGGCAAGACTGTTGGTTGTACTGCCGTGCACATGGGTGCACCCTGGCTTGAAGTGGTTTCTGGTATATCCGGGGTTTACAGTTTGGTTAAATGACCCTCAGCACCCCCATTACATACATTGTTCCAGCACCCCTGGTGGTATAAGGATCCAAACCCTGTCACAGCCAAATGTCACACACTTGGTCAGGAATTTTGTGTGTGTTGGGAGTCTTATATAATTGGTGAAGTAGAGTGTGGGGTGGGGAGATATTTATTAGTAAGTGCAATGAAGTCAAGGCTCCAGGTGTGCTCAATAACTGCAATTTCTCAGTGGCTGTCCCCACACCATAAGTTGTGTATGTTTGTGTTTATAAACAGACATTCAATGCTTGCTCCATAATTTTTCTTTGATGTCAAAAACAGCACTGAGAAAGAGCTCTGCCGTTTTGGCTCATGAGACAGTGTGTTCAAAATACTAATCAAAAGAAGATTTTTATCATATTGTCTATTTTGTATAGAATCACGTCTGTTTTTTCCTTTTCTGCAAATGATCTCAGCTGCAAGATGCCTGATAACTCCTTTGTGGTCAAGACCTTTAGTTTTCTCACCTTTCAGTAATGAAAGGGAGAATAATTGATGCTCAGACCTGATAAGAGCCGTCTGTCTAGTATAACAATAATGTCACACACTCAGGAGTATAGTCATGAATATTCAAAGAAATTTAACTCATGATTGTTTTATGTCTTTTAGCAGCACATTTCACAGGAACAAAAACATATCATGAGAATCTTGCCAGCAGAATATTAACATGCTTGGTTGCTCTTCTTTTCCTGATGGTCAAGATTGTCCTAAAGATTTTCATTTCCCTAATCTCCGAACCACAATCAATACTTTCTTTTTCATCCCTTTTTCTGACAAGTATGTACAAAAATGATAGGAACTAGAATAGGAAATAATATGAATTAGTCTTGAAATTGTATATATTTTCTCTCCCTTATCCCAGTTGTCTATTCTCTTGTTCTTTGTTCTCAATAATTCTTCACTTTGAGTCTCTTCCCTCATCTTCCGCTCTGCATCTTGTTTCTGTTTTATATATACTCTTGTTTTTATCTTGCAGTTCTCCATGTTTTCTGGCTATCCCATATTACTTTCTTCTTATGACCTTAGACACTCCTATTTTTCTTTCTTTCAGGAACAGGAAGTCCTGAAAAGCCTATCTTTCCTCTCATCTGGATATTAATATCCTTTCCAGTTTATCCCTGATATTTTCCCCTATCTTCCTTTCCTTCAGCTTTCTGGGGCCAGACCCATAGTTAATGTATGAAGTCAGCAGAGGTAAACTTTCGTACATTAGCAAAACATCTGAGCCAGAGGTTTTCATTGTTTTTTCACCCCAAAGGCCCTGTTAGCACAATACCTTTTAATCAAGTTTCTTTCTTCCCCAGTCTGATTCAATTCCTTGCTTCCAAGATCCTGTTTCTTATTGCCACTTCTTCTTCCTCTTCTTACTCATTAAAGCACAACAAATGCCTGTTGGTATTTTGTGACAAGAAGCTGCCATCTTGGCAGTGCTAAGATAAGTAGCATGGGGAGATACCTGCGGTTGTATATTAAAATGTTTTAAATATTTTTCATTTGGTGGTCTGTTATTATTTTGAAAAACAATTAGACCCTCCTCCTGTGCTGATAATATATACTACTTCATTATCATACATAATCAGGATGCAGGAAACAATCCTGCACTGATGCAGTGTAAACTACGTAGTCCAATCTTTCTCTTCTATCTGTGATTTTCTATTTTGCAGTAGTGTGTTCCTTGTCCCAAAAGTTAGCAAGATGGAAAGAACTTCTTATTTGTTATCAGGACTTTTAACAACAGCTATTGATAATGAGTGGCTTTTTTAATCACATTACATAATTCTCTTGTAGTTTCCAATTTTCCCTCTGAATGATGTAATCCCCATATGCTATAAGCATTCTGTTGTTTAGCAACACACAAACTACATATGTCATAGCTACTCATGGTTATGCTCCATGAATCTTCTTTCTTTATGGTTTCTGCAGACAAGAGACATCCAGATTCACATGTTGAAACTCACTGTATTTTAATGCATATAGATTACGTACATTATGTATGTTTGATGCACTGATTTTGTAGTTTAAATACTTTGCCAAACAAAGACGAGTTGTCCAGAAACTTTACATATTTGTACTAAACATTAAACTAGCTTTGCCTGTCAATTCAAAGCTACTTTGTTGTTTAAAAAAACAACCCTGTACTTTCAAGCCTTATGTGAAACTTGGCATCACAAGTCTCAAAACCCATAGATTTTTTAAATCACAAACAATTCTGCCATCTGTACCCCAAGGTATAAAACTAAAATGGTAGCTCCACAGGAATGTATCGATATGAGCATACATAAATGTGTCCAATTTGTTGTCCTCAGAAAGATTTTGTTTTCTCTCCAAATCAGGGAAGTGATCATTACAAATAATCCTTAATGCAGTTAACTACTTTGAGGATATCATTTAAGCTTTTTAGTTCTTCTGATATGTACAGTGAGGATAAGCATGTGAAGACCTTGAGGAAATGCACTATGATTACACTTGCCTATATTATTCATTTCTTGGAATCCAATAATAGCTCCCTCTTGGTATTTTTTTTCTAATCCAGACTTGCATAACGCAAGTTATGCTCTCCTCACTTTTTAGGTACACTTTTTTAATGTCACTTTTTTCACAGCTCTCATTTAATTTTACACTTGCTTATGACAGTCTCATAATTGGTATTGGATGGTGTTCAAACACCTGTCTGATCAGAGCAGTTACTTACTTGTAAGCAATATAGTAAAGTGTATGTTTTAAATTACACTTAGAGCACTGTTTTTAGAATTATCTCCCTTCCTTTTTAAAATAATCCCTTATCCAGTGTCTAGGGGCCAGGTTTTGATGCTCTTTGTTGTCTAGGGTAGTATCTTGCTCTGCAAGAAGCTGCACATAAGCCTTTAGAGCAGAGATCATCTTTGCATTTTTTGTGATACAGAAACTAATGGAGGGAGGCCCCGTTCCTGATTGTGGCCTCTTCCGGCTAGCAAAATTCAAATAGTAAATAATAGTGCTCAAGTATGAAATGTACCAGAACCTTGGCCTTTGAGTAGGATTTACCTTTTTAAACAAAAATCTAAAATTCTGCACATAATCACCATCAGCATGGCCTTGTCTGTCTGAGGTTGATGTTGTATCATTAACTCAGTTTTCAATGCTGATTATTTGTTGGATTGCGAACAAAAAAGGCTTTCAGTTGTGTACTGAGTAACTAGCTTCACCATAACCACAAAAACAAAGAATCTGCTGGAGATCCCTGTGCTATATGTAAATTATTCAAAAATTAGCATAGCTTTCAAAAGAAACAATGTGATGAAACATGCATGGAAGATCAACTGATGATGCCCGTGAATTTGTTTGATGTATTTAATTTTTTAACCCAAGGAAAATATCTGTTCCTAAATACAGCTATGCAGGAAATTATTTTCCTGTCCCGTGAAAAATTTGAAATTAAAGAAAGTATCCCATTCTATTTTGGGGTAAAATTCTCCCCAAAATTGAGACACATGCTCCAGAATAGCTAATTGCCCCGTGGCTAAAGCACTTGCACGGGACATGAGAAATCATGGTTCCAGTCCCTATTCTGACTATACAAGCCTAACCACTAACGGTGCATCTACATAGCACCCTTAGCTCGAAATAAGCTACGCAATTTGCTCTACGCAAATTGCATAGTTTATTTTGAGGTAGTTTCAGAATAGTTTATTTTGGAATTTGGAGCTATCTACACAGCGCCAAGTTTCAAAATAACTCGCTATTCCGAAATTCCCCTTAACCCTCGTGGAACGAGGGTTACTGGGATATTGGAATAAGCTGCCTGTTATTTAGAAATCTATATAGAAATAACAGGCTGCTTCAATAGACATGGAATAGGTATTTCAGGATACTTCCGGTATCCTGAAATAGCTCCACAGTATAGATTGGTCCTGCCTTGGGCAGTGGGCTGGACTTGACCTCCTGAGGTCTCTTTCAGCTCTATGATTCTATGTACTCTGAGATACAGTATCAGTTTTGTCTCTGGCTCAGTGAATGCTTAATTATTTATACTGATTTAGACAACTTTACTGAGAGAGACTCTGACAAGTCACAGGGGCAGAGCCCAACAGGGTTGCGGATTCACTTCAAGACAGAGTTGATT